TATCTATTTTTTCTAATTAGGATAATATCGTCATTTGTGTAATATGCTGTGTTTGTTGTTGTTTTGTTGTTAGCTGACCATGTGTTCTGGCTGTCTGTTTTCAGGGTCTAGGGTGGTTTTCCACTTTTCCGAAAATAATAATAAAATTTTGCAAACTTTTTAAGTCGAGTTAAACTACTTAAGAATCTTATTGAAACTTGCTATATCTATCTTCATGTATTGCTAGAAAGCTTGTATGCTAAACCTTTCTTTAATACCTTGTATAGGTTTATCTAATTTGTTTTGTTCTACTTCTATATGCTACTTTGTTTATTCAAGTTTGCTGAAGATTGGTTTTCTTACTGTTGCTTGTTGCTATCTTATTTCCTTTTTTGTTTCTATATTGGTTAGCTGTATTTCTATGTTTCTATCTTTCCTCTTAGTGCTCTATATATTGCTTGCTTGTGTGTTTTAAGGTTATTTTATGTTTTTGCTTTCTGTGGATTTCGGTCGAGGGATCTACAGGGGATAGTGGTGATAAGACTGTTATATTATATTATTATTTAGTATTAGTTATTATTATTATTGTATTATTATTAGTAGTAGTTACTAAAACTTTTTAGTTGCTTAGTAATTGCTTAGTTACTTCGTTGCTTAGTTACTTAGTTACTTAGTCACTTAGTAATTAGTCACTTAATAATCATTAATTATTAATTGCTAGAACCTTCTAGTTACTTAGTAATTACTTAGTCACTTAGTTACTTAATGCTTAGTTGTTTAGTCACTTAGTTACTTAGTTAATTAGTTGCTTGGCTACTTAGTTGCTTAGCTTACAAATATATAAACCTTGCTAAATTCTTTAAGTCTAATTAAGCAACAGACATCTTTTTTTTTTTAATATTGTAAATACATCTTGAAATTTTTTAAGAACAGAAATCTAAGAATAGCCCTTTTTGTTATTACTTTAATAAATAGCTTTTGACTATAAACTGTATTGATACTCTCTTTTTAGGATAATTTCTACAGACAAAGTTTATTCTCTTTCAGTAAAATAAGATAAAGTTATTAGTATTGCATTATTTTTTTTGAACTGTTTTAGAAAAGGGTATAGTAAGGGTGTGGTGACCTAGTGAAGTGGTCAGGTTGTCAACCCCTTAAGTGATAGATTGGATGTTCAAATCCCATTGATAGCAAAAATTTGAATAATTACCTATGTAATATTCATATTACAACAACTGTTACTAATGATTAGGTTAGGATATCTGTAATAACAGTCACACTAGCATAACTGGCAGGTTATGAGGCATTTGTGTAAGTATAGCATTATACAGAGAAATGCAAACTGACAAATCGGGTAGTGCAAACACTAGATAAGTTCTTGTAATCATGTAAATTTATTGAAGTTGGGTAACAAGAAGTCCATTTAAAAAGATCTGAGTAGAGAGGTAGCTGGATCTTCAACAGCTCTATTATAAAGGCTAGTCTAAGAAAACAAATACCAAGTTTGTAGTACCTGGTCATAGTAGTCAGACAGGCAAGAACCTCTGGGTTGGGAGTCTTAGAGGTACTACTAACCAGGCCACCAGAACAAATCAAAAGAAAAGGATATCAGGCTAACCTGATATACTGATGAACTGGCCATAGTTCTACATGGGCTATCTGAATTGAGAGTTTGGTAAAAAGACAGATGAAAAGGCAGGAGTATACTAAAATACCAGGATTATGCTATAAAGTAGATGCTGGGGTCTAAGTGAACTCTACAAGAGCATAGTAGTTTAATGGTTAGCTCTGATTGCAAGTGTTGGTTCTGCTATAGCGATATCTAGGTCAGCTATAAAAATAAGTACAGAAGGCTCTGAGGGGTTTATTTTGAGGATAAATTAGTCCTAAGTTGAGATAATAATCTGAGATCTGGGTATGACCTAGTGAGTTAATACAGATTACAGATTCAAAGGATTTAAAGTTGAACATCCAAGCAGGAGTGTTAGATATAACAATTGGTAGGAAAACTTCGAGTGGACTTCTTAAATAGGTAATATAGAAAAGTTATATATATAGCCAATTGTACTCTTTCCTGTAGTGGTTCATTGAACCACAATACTAATAAGTAATTAATAAAAGTCAAAAGACCAAAAAGGTCACCTTAATAATAAAAAAAAAAAAAAAGTATAGTTTCTTGACAATATTTAACAAAAATTATACTTCTCTTTTGGATATCACATATACTTATAAAGGATTTTCTGTGCTATATTGTTGTTATAGTATAAAAATTAAGAAGATTTTTACTTATAACATTTGGTGCCTTCTGGCAAAAAGGTTAAAATTTTAAAGAAAACAAATTATTACAAATGAGACATTTTCAAATATATTAGAAAAAGTTATTTTAGCAAAAGACTCAAACAAGTATTAGTTATTTTAGCAAGAGACTCAAATAAGTATTAGTTATCTTGACAAGAAACTTAGACAAGTATTAGTTATTTTAACAAGAAATCCAGACAAGTATAAGTTATTTTAGCAGAGTTCTAAATATATAAATATCATTTTTTTTATGGTTTACACTGCTGCTAAACTTTATAACAAGAACATTCAAAACTATCATCAAGCATATCTTACTGAATCTTAACTTGCAATAGACATACTTTAAGTATAGCATTTAGATTTATTTTGTCTTTAGTATAGTGTTCTTATAAATTGAACTGAACTGAACTTTGGTCAAGTTTAGCTTTAGTTTAGTTCAATACTGAACTTGAACTTTTTTTAAAAAAAAGTTTAGTTTAGATTTAATATTAAACTTTTAAATCAAGTTTAGATTCAGTTCAAGTTCATAAATTTTAAGTTTAGTTTAGGTTCAGATTCAATAATTTGCAAAATTTAAAGTTCAGTTCAGGTTCAGATTCAATAATTTGCAAATTTTGAAGTTCAGTTCAAGTTTAATAAACTTGGTTCATGATTTAAACTAAACTAAACTGAACTTAGAAATACTAATTTTGGATTTTTTATTAAATAATCTAAAATTAAGCATCTTTTTTTTAAACTAAAAAATATAAAGTAAATATATACTAATATAATATATTTTTATATATAAAACAAAGTTATTTAAAGAATAAAGATAGAATTAATTAGTAAAATTTTGAGAATTATAATATTTTTTATAATTTTATTAATAAAATTATAAAAATTATTATAATTCTTAAAATTTTACTAATTAATTCTATTTTATCCTTTAAATAACTTTGTTTTATATATAAAAATATATTATATTAGTATATATTTACTTTATATTTTTTAGTTTAAAAAAAAGATGCTTAATTTTAAAATTTTGATTAAAGAATTCAAAATTAAGTATCTTTTCTTTAAATTTAAAAAATATAAAATAAATATATTTCAATAAGTAGCTGTGCAACTTTGTTATGTAAAATTAGAAATATAAGAAATCTATACAAACACTATTTTAGTTATCAGAAATTATATTCTTTATTGCAATTTATTTCTAATATTGTGCAACAAATTGGTAAGTCTGTTGCTAATTTCTTCTAATCCTCATATAACCTACAGTGGTTGAGTCAAAATAGGTATGTTAGATTTGGCTAGTAGTTTATCTGTAAATAAGTATTATTCTTCTCTTCTAAGTTCTTTCTTTAATTAATTCTTCTATTAATTCTTATTTTCCTTTGTTCTTTCTTTCTACTTCTTTAATCTGAGGTTACAATACATTAAATCAGGTTGAAACTCTTTTCTTTCATTATGATTTGCCACACATGTAACTATAGCAAGTGCTCAATTATAGTTTTAGTTATTCTTGAAAGAGTAGTATTAGTACTAAGATTTATTAATAGTTACTGAGCTTTTATAAAATAACACTTTTACTTTAATTATGAGTTAGATAGATAGTTTATGTTTTACAATTAAAATTATCTTTCTTTAGCCTAGATAAATTGCCCTTTATTTATAATAAGCAGTCTTATCTATTTATATTATAAACTTGTCTAGTATATTAACATATCTAATTTATTCAATATATTATATATATTTAATATATTACACTTATTCCTTAAACTATTTTCCAAGCAAATTTACCTAGAATTCTTAAATTATTTAATAAATATTATCATAACACAAAACTCTAATAAGTAAAAGCCACTCTAATGCTTGATTTTTTTAGATCAGATGAACCTAACTAATTATTTGATAATAAAATTTCTAGGCAAATTTGCCTAGAAAATAGTTGACAATTTTTTTTAAAAAAAAGTTGATATAAATGTCTAAGATCAATGATTCTAAATTACTGTTACTGTTACTGTTACATTAATGATTATCGATTTTAGACATTTATATCAACTTTTTTTTAAAAAAAATTGTCTATTGTTTTTCAGGCAAATTTGCCTAGAAATTTTATTATTATTTTAATCATAAATTAACATTGATGAATATATGTACATATCAGATGTACATATGCATACATACATATATACGTACATACTTACAAGTATTTACATACTAGTTTCTTGTTTTACTGATCAAATAAAATGTATTAGGATTTTGCTCTGTTTTTGTCTTATCTAATTACAATTAATGTATTGTCATGATAGTTGCTAGTATTGTGTTAAAAATAAATTAGACAGTTGGCATATTAAAAATAAAATGTACAATTTAAAATTATATAAAGTAGCTCTAATAAGTATGTACATATATAAGTATACTGCTAACTTCCTAAATTAGATGTGACCAAATTACCACTTGTATCTAAGAACGAATATAAAAATCAGAAATTAGTAAGATTAATAAAATAATGCCCTTGTAATGAGTAAATTGAAAGTTCTTGTATTGGTGGTTGTATTGGTAGTTGTAAGCAACTTATGCCTGTATCTTGCATTCATTTGAGAATTATCTTAACTATTATGATTTTTTTTTTAATTAAAATTATCATTAAAATCATATTTTATTTTGTGGCATTCTGTTTCATTATTGTTTTTTTTCTGTATTTTTTGAAGGAGGTTTTTTTTTTAATAAAAAATTTCTAAATGTCTTCTGATAAGAATTCTGACCCATACTACTTAATTACTTTTAAATGCAATTTTCATAATAAACTGATAATCAATTATGAACTTGTGAAAGCCACCAATAATAAAGAACATGAGTCTAATGAACAAGATTGTGTGCATAAAGAAGTGAATGTAGGGACTAGTAGAGGAAGAGGAAGGGGTAAAGGAAAAGACAGAAAAAGAGGCAAAAAAAGGAGCAGAGGAAGGGGTGGAGTGAAGGGTAAAGGAAAAGATAATAATAAAAAGATGCAAAATAGTGATATAGATACAGAATTACAAATGTTAAAATGTTTTATCTTTAATCCTATTCAGAATGTTCAACCACTTCACAAAGAGTATATAACACTTTCTCATAAATATTAATTAGAAATCATTACACTGCTTTTACTTTTTCAGTTATTTTTTACTAACAAACAATTGAATTTAATGATTGTGAATACCAATATATATGAACAGATAAAAGGTCAGGATTGTGAATGTCCATGGAATCTGTTAACTCAAGATAAGTTAAAAATTTGGCTTAGTTTGATTATTTATATGGAAGTTTATAAAATTAGTGCTGTTGAAGATTTATGAAATAGTAATGAAAAAAAAGCAATACATGAGATTAAAAGATTTATGTCAATAGTTAGGTTTCAACAAATTAAATGTTTTTTTCATATTTTCCCTCTAGGTGAACCTCATTTATTTTGGTTTTCCAAAGTCAAACCATTTGCATTGCATATACAAGATGCTGTTAAAAACCTTTATGTTCCTAGCTTTAATATGTCTGTTAATAAAATAGTTGTATATTTCTTAGGTTGAAGTGCTTACATGATAAGGATGAAGAATAAACCAACTTTGGAGGATTACAAAATTATTTTACTATATGATTATAATTATACATGAACATTTATATTTACTTCATGCATTGAAAAAAATGCATCTTTAAGAATAATTCCTGGTCTTAATTATACTGTATATATAGTTATGCATTTAGTTAGTAAACTTTCTTGTAATAAAATGTATCATGTGTATATAGATAATTACTTTTCCAGCATATCTCTCTTTAAATATTTATATAAAAATAACATTTGTGCTTGTGGCACTGCTTATACTAATTCTGCTGAATTTCCTAAAGAATTAAAGAATAAAGAATCATTATTAGAATGAAACATGCTTTTGAGTAAGATAGTAAATGATGTTTTGGCTATTTTATAGATTGATAATAGCACAGTAATGATGTTATTTACAATTCATAAAATTTCTGGTGATAATTGTAAAATTATTCATAACTGATAATAGCTGCATGAAACTAGTTCTACTGCAAGTGTGGTGTGTAATATTTTTGGTAATGCGTATTAGAAGGAATTAGCAATTCCACAAGTAATCAATAATTACAATCATTACATAGATGGTGTTGACATTGCTGATCAACTCCGTAGATACTACAATTGTCAGCTAACAGTTAGATGTACTTGGCTTCCTTTATTTTTTTGGATCTTGGATACTGTACTTGTAAACTGTATACTTCTTCATTGGAAGGTTACTGACACAAATATTTCAAGCAAAGAATTCAGAAATAATTTAGTATAAGATTTAATTAAAAATATTTTGGATAATAAATTGTCTCAAAATGAAATACCTTTTCAAGCACCATTAAAGGGAAAGAGAGTTGCTCATGCCACTAAAAATTTTGAATTACCACTAACTCGTTTATTAGATGAAGATCATTTAGTCAAATAAAGAGAAAAAAGATAAGTTTGTATTTATTGCTGTTATTTATTACTACATAGTAAAAAAGCAATTAACTATGATAACCCCTCACAAAGTAATTTGTGGTGTACTAAATATAAAGCACCATTGTGTTGCTCTAAAGCCAGGCCATATTGTTTTAAGGACTTCCATTCTAAAAAATTATAAAGACTTTTATATTAACTGCCTAAACTTGGATTAATAGTTCAATTTTTTTTTTTGAACTTCAATTTGAATACGGTATTGTTCTGTATTTATAGATTTTACTTCAATATTAAAAAAAAAAAAAATACAAAATAAATAAAGGAAAAATAAATAAATAAATAGATAAATAAGACAGGTAAAGTGAAATAAATAAATAAAAGTGCTTGTAGCAAAAAAACAATAAAATAAACAAATAAAGACATGTAAGCAAAATAAGTAAGGCAAGGGTGTGGGTCCCATAGCTTAGCGGTTAAGCTCCCATACTCTCCACAGTCAAGGTCAACGGTTCAAGTCTGGCTGG